GGGGGGGGGGGGGGGGGGAAACAACCAAACAACAATGGGCATAAGCAGGCTAAATTAATATTTAGAATAATAAATTAGATGAAGAACATGGAGAAAGTGAATGAAGAAGTTTTGCACTGGGTTGAACAATTTTAACAAAATATTCCTGAAATACTTTTACAAGGCATATTGGACAAAAGTAATTTATTCTACCCCCCCATTAGGAATTCTGGTCTAAAAATGAGTTATTGGCTTTCTAGAAATATGGAAGACAACATTTTTAAGAAAATAAATACTTTTTTTTCTTTTTATACGGTTTCTTTTTTGGAATCTGATGATAAAATTTTTTAGTTACAGAAATAGGTTTTCATTACACATTATAAATAAGGAGAAAGAAAAAGCAACTTTTTCATTTGCCATGTTCTTCTAATCTGCAACAAAGAATTTTGGTTTATTTCATTTAGCCTGGCTACTCAAGGGATGTTCTCAGAGGCAGAACAGAAAATACAGAATCTAACTGCTGCACTCTTTTCTCTGAAAGACCACCTCGTCATTGCCCAAGACCTGTAACAGTCATACTGTAGCAAGTCTTAGAGCTTTTTAATTTTGTAAGTTTAATGAAAAACTTTTCCTCCTCTCTATTTACTTAATTATCTACTGTAATGCATTCTGGTTTGGGTGAAAATCTCACGTATCATACTCAGTGCCTAAGACTCATTTGAAAATGGAGCCTTAAAAAGCACTGCTGAAGGCAAAGATGGAAAAAACAAACACAGAGGAAAATAGAAGTTAATTTTACATACCTAACTGCTGTAAGACAGTTGCTTTTACTTGTGCAGGAAGGTTTTCGATCTGCAAAAGCTGTTCATAAGCTTCCTTTGCAGAGTGATACTTTCTCTGCAAAAGGAAAAAAGTAAATGGATTAATCATAAAGCTTACAACAGATCACCAATAGCAATGATTTCACAGCACTGACAGCACACAAACACACTGACAAAAAATTCTGGAATTCTTTTTGGTTTTTTGCATACAGTGCATATGAAAGCTTTAATGAGGGACATATATATATATGGTAAGAGAGTAACTCAGAAATATAGTATTTAATGTAAATTGACTACTTAAAATAATTGAGGGAAATTTGCAAATTATTCAATTTGGTCAAGTCCTCATACATGCATTATGCCTCTTACACTAAAATGAATATACTGCTTTTAAGGGGAATGCTTGAATGTGAGTCTACATCTGGAAAAACCCTCCACAAATTCCTCCCAGGAAATTCGTAACAGAAATTAACATAATCAGTAATTGCTGGCTGCTATAATTTTGCCTCTCTCCTTCCTTTGGTGTATTCGAACTGCCTTTTCAACATATTTGTTCTCCTGGTAGGAGTCCACCATATATAGAACTCAAACATAGCCATGGATTATGCCTAGAGAATGAAGATATGCTAAATAGTTTGTGTGCTTAAAGCATGGAAACAATTAAATTCTTAACTCCCTATACAAACAGGTCTTGATATAGAAAACACATTTCCAGGTTTGGATCATGGTCTTTATTGACTTCTGGAACAGTATGAGCTGTTACGTATATATTAAAGGTTAAGACTTCTTGATAGATTAATTTTTTTGTAATAATGTCAGCAATTATCTTCAGGTTACCCTACAAAATTCTGGAAGAGATAAATGCTGAGATCTGTTAGTAAGAGTACTTTTTTATTATTTCGAAAAATGCTATACATTCTTTTAAGAAAAATACGCTTTCAAATAATTCAACATTATATTTCACTCTGGCAAACAGATGAAGAGAATACCAAAGTAAATGGGCCACCTAAATGCAAATGATCATGACTTATTTACATTTGTTTTATGCAAAGAGTATTGACTACGGGTGTTTTAAAAGGGACAACTGGGAAGACGACACTAAACAATATAAATACCTATTAGAAGTTTAAAATGTTATTAGGTTCTTGAGATCTCACAATCACAAAAGACAACGCTGTTGATTTTAAAACCTTATTCTAGTCAGGAAGAAAAATTAAAGCAGCAATTACATACTTTCAAATGGAACAAGGGGAAGTTGGTAGAAAAGATTTTTAATTGGTGTTCATGAAATGCAGACAACTGGTAAGAAAACAAATAATATAAATAAATAAAATATCCATGTCCAGCAAAATAAAAACAATCAGGAAAAAAAATTTAACTTTAGCATTGGGAACAAAACTCGTAGTTTATGACTATGAAGGATAAGCAAATGAACAGAAGTTTACTGTATAGCATGACAGCAGAGGTAGCAATCTGGATGTCAAATTGGTAAATATCAGTGCCTAATATTCACACTTTGGAAAAGATGTTTACATGCTTGGGAGGATTCAAAAAACCTATTGAAATAGGGCATGTTTTCCAGGTCTAGAAAATTTTTTACTTTTGTTATTTGTTGTATTATTTACCCTTTAGAAATCTGTCTACATATATGCCTTAAAATATTATAGAAAACTGTCACAACGTTTGCATTTGGTTTTATTAGGTATTTTAATTCGAAAGATCCAAAGTCCTTGATATTTGGCTGCATCATCTTTCTTTAGACACCGTATAAGTTACTACCCTGAATAGCAGAGGGACTCACACTGCCACAGATGAAATAATAGAAACTACCATTAAACACCATGAAAAAACACTGCTAACTCTTATCAGCACCAGTCTATTCTCTTGCTCAGAGGCTAGCAACCCATCACTTAAACACCAGTACTGTAAAGGTATGTAATTAAGGAATGAATTAAGTTTTTCATTAGAGAATTTTCAAATATACAGAGGGGTTCAGAAAACTGTAGCATTGTGTCCTTTAAAAGAAACCAAGCAACCAGCCTGCCTCATGAAAAAATCTCTTCATTGTGTCAGAGGTAATATCCAGAATGAAGTCAAGACTTTTTGTGGTTCTAAGTCTCTCAAATTCCATGAAAGAAGATACCCCTCCCAACCAGAACTGGGAGACAAACCAAGTCTAACAGCAGAAACCAATGAAACTTTTTTGCTCTGACTTGCATTAAAATAAAGTTCCCACTGCCTATAATTGTCAGTCAGAAAGCACAGCTTAAGCACTTATAACATTGGTCACAATTATATATGACACCTGGCATGGTGACCTGAGGTGTTCAGCTTTCTGTTTTACTCTAGCAGATCAAAGGAACTAAGGTACAGGATGTTACAGAAATGTGCCAGCTGCCTTTCAGTGATCCGAATGGACCCTGGACAGTGGCCAGGTAAGAACTGTAACAGTCTATGAAGCTTCTTAATGGTGTTTTGGGACAGGGGATTTCTGTCTTGTCATACAGTTTTGCAACCAAAGCATTCAAAAGTAAAATATTTTGTTTATCAAATTTATATATTTATTTATGTATAAGTACCTAAAGTAATTTTTCACTGTGCCATCAAAAGACAGGACTTGTTTTATCAAGCTACTTTTCAACTGACTGATAATGTAGTTTATTTCTGTCATTCATTTTAATTACTCATAGTTTTTGTTTTCATGTCACTTCCCTTCCTAGGTCATATAATCCCTGTAACCAGGATAAAAGCACATACAATCTACTTTATATCACCAGTCAGTCAAATTACAAATATACAACAGCTATTTCAGTAGCTACCTGTTTTCAATTTACTTATACTCTGGAAGGTCAGTGAATGTTCTGTAATTTCCCAAAAGATTCACCTAAAAAACTCCAGTAGGATTTGATACAGTACCTCAGATCTCAAATGTTTCTGTCACATACGTTCAGTTGAAAATTTAATGTCAAATATACTTAAAAGATGCCTGGGCAACTGGTGAGAGTCACATGCACACGTGTGTGTGTGTGTGTGTGTGTGTGTGTGTATAAGAAACAATATGAACATATATGAATTGAGGAACTACTTTTTTATGTCTATATATAACTATTGAAATATATATATAATCTCATAAAAGAATGTTACTAAAAATTATGTTTAGGGTTTTCTTTGCACTCAGCTTGGGAGACTAATACGTAAGTTTATTAAAATAGCTACTCTACTTTATAGCACAACAGTCTACATAGAAATCGTCTTCAATACAGCCAAAGCAAATAAAGCTTCTTCAGTGATTCGAGACTTAAGCCTAACTTGACAAAAGCATCTATAATCTGAATTCCACGATGATTACATCATAGAAACTCAACCACACTTTATAAAAAAGAGCTTAAAGCTTACCTGGATTTCATATAAGTGGGCAATGTGAAACTGAACTGTAAGAGTGGGAAAATCAAAATTATTAGTTTTAATCAACAACAACAACAATATATTTTTTCAAGTGAGAGATAAACAATGATTCGCATTTATCAATGCAAAACCAAGATATTACATTTTGAAGATATAAAAAAAGTGTTTATTTACATTGATATTTTACGCTTCATAAAACAGAACTGATGGAGAATGAACATGTATCCTCACAAAGCATGAAGACTGCAAACAGATATTGCAGAAAGGCAGTCCATGGATTTTATCTGTATTCTGAAATGCAAAGTCCATTAACCTTGCAGTAAACTTAGCAATAAAATCTCTTCAAGCAGAGATGCACAAGACAATGCAAGTAATATTTACTGTACATATCTGAGTTAGAAATAAAGATTTATTTTTTATTTTCGTTCAACTGCCAAGGGACAGATTAGCTGGCTTACAGAACAGAAAACTACATTATACACTCCCAGCTTTGCACAGGATCTTAAATTTAGGTTTTTTTCCTTTTTAGTAATTGTCTTTCCCCTGTTAAACAGAACTTAAAAGCATTAATTACAGATGGTGTTCTGATCGTTACTGTAAAGCATCTTAAATTCCTCATGCAATTTGCACAGAATGCCATAATACTACCAGCAGCTTTTGCAGGCAAGAAAATTGCTGGCTGGAGGAAAAAAAATGAAAGATGTTCAAGAGTAAAAGCAGAGGGAAAATTATCCTTATGCTGCTCAAATCATTAAAGAAATATGCCTGATCTCTATGGCTTGAGAACTGCTAACCTAGACTAGCCATTGACTGGCTAAAAGCTAGCTGAGATGAATGCAATCCTTACTCCAATTTGATGAGGAAAGAAAAATTCCTGAGACAGACTCTTGCCTGATGTTCTTGAGGAGTATAAGTAAGAAAATACATGTGTTTGTACCAAGCTCAATTTGTTTCAATTAGACAGATTTCCTCCTCTTGAAGCTACAGAAGAGTGTGTCACATAGGTTTTTACAGGTAATTTGGAGTTCCAGAGCTTCTCTCTGGGTCACAAGGGAAAAGAAAAGCTCCCTTTGTGAACTGCTTTGTCCATCACTATAAAGAAGGTAGCCTAGTGCACTTCAGAAACCAGGTCATAATTGAAACGCATCATCTAAAATTTTAATAAACTTCTGGTGTTCCTTGCTAAAGGGAACATAACATACCCATTATGTTTACCACATTGTCAAACTTCACTCTGTACTGGTGAAAGAAACCCCCCCCCCGCTTTTGTTCTGGGAGTTTCATTATCTAAAAAATGTCTTATTTTTTTCCCCTCATAGCAAAATCCCTTCAGTGTGAAGCTACACAAGGAAGCCATGCCACACAGGGGAAAGAAATTAAAGGTGTCATATTAGAGACTATCTAAATAGAAAGAAGACATGCTTGGTGCTCAAACATTTCTGCTAGGAACACGCTCACTGTAATGCTGTTACTCACCCAGCCTTTAGAAATGCAAGGGGTAGAATTAAGGCAATCTCAAACATTCATGTGATGGCACCTGACACCCCGGGTCAGAGTGAGTAGTACAGGAGAACCTGACAAAGTATCTCTCATTCCTCTTCACTCTCTTCCTTTGGGTTTGTCAGGCACCCTGTCCAAGGCCACAGGGCAATGAAGCTTTTACATGGGGCCATATCTCTACATAAATCTGGGGGCAGAGGGGACTGTGGGGGAAGGGTTAGGAAAACCTTACAAAAATTCAGAAATACAGTGAAAAAAATCAATAAAAGTTAGTGAGAAATAATATGAATTAACATGAAATGTAATAAAGAATCATGTATCTGGTAGAAAACAATAAATGCCTATTGACTTAGGAAGAATTCTGCAAATAATTTTACAAGATTATTTGTGCCTGATCCTGGTAAGTGACAAAGCTTTAGAGAATACCTTGGCAGCACAGCTGGCTCCTTGGTACCGATACAGCCAGCGGTTTCACCCATGTAAACAAATCCCCTTTCATTACCCTTGCTGATACAATATTCACAATTCCATCCAGCTCTAAATTAAAGTAGTAAAGAAATGCTTTTAAATACTTTATCCAATGCTTCTGAAGTTAGACTTAGGAAGTAACTTAAGCTCAACACCAAGAGCAGCATCAAGGCTCCTTAAAAACTGAGAGAATAATTTCCTTCACAACTCTCCGCCTTTTAATTCTTACAGACTCCAAAACATAAAGGAACATACACTTATTCTTGCATACAGTTCTACTAACTATGGGTAAATACCTGCAGGATGCTCTGTAACAGCCTATAGTACACAAATGCATATCATAAATCATACTACACTAAAATATTAATGTGTTCAAGTAGACTAATATATAGTTGGCACCTAATAAAGCAAATAAATTACGTTTTGTATTTTTTCTTACTTCAATAGCATAAGACTGATGCTGAATTTAAATGCCATTAAAATGATCACTGAAAAATGACAGATTATCAAGATGTCACGAAGTTTTAAATAAATGTGTGCACACACTATTAAAAGTATGCCATGGCACAAGCACTGTGTTTATAAATAAATAAATAAATGAACAGTCAAATAGTATGTTTCCTCCAGAACTCAAGTCTTCAGAGCAATTAATACAATAAGTCTCAAATTCTACTTATTCCATTTACTAAAAAGAATCTACAATTCTACTGGAATATCTGTCTCCACTGACAGATGGAAACAGGTTTTGTAGTATCCCTCTTTCAGTACTGAGTCTTTTGATTTTGAAAGACTGGTTCATTAGAAATTAATACAGTTGTGAGCATAAGACTTAAAAAAAATAATCTACAACAAAATAAATGGACATACTTATAGGTTACTTACTTTCAGCGTTAGACAAAGTGCAGGGATTGCAGTCAATCAAAGCTAACTGAAAATGCTGAAAAAAAAGAATGATTTGTTTTTCAAACAAAGCAATACTAGCACTTTGGCAAATTACTAAGAATAAATCAATTTTGTACTTGAAAATACTGCATTTTACCATGTGTCTTAAAGAAAACAATTTTCAATTTCTGTTCAACTGTTTACTAGAGGAAAGTAAATTTTTTTATTGCAGATGCAGCAATGCTTCTAGCAATGTAAGATGGCAACAGACATCTTCATAAAACGACTGGGATAACATCTGGAAGAATGACTGCATCAAATGAATGGTCAGATTTGGAAGGACAAGTTTTCCTCAGAATACATAACTGGGAATGTAGCCATCATACTAACTCATAGCCTCATGGAGATAAATATCAAAGCTCTCAATTTGTCTATATAGAAAACCAGAATACTCTTCCTTCAAATTGGGTGAAGTCTGTTTAAAAAAATTGATCTCTTGTCAAAAAGCACTTAAAATAAACACCTTTACATTAAAACATGAGTTCATAAGGAGTTCATAAATTCTTATATCCTCTCCTGCAGGTACTAAGATAACTTCAGTTTAACATTAGAGCTTGTTTATTTTTAATCACTTTTCCTCAAGAGATATGAAAAATACATTTTAAAACATCTCTGCATTCTGAAGTTCTGAGCCAAGTATTTCACTCTTCTAGAAAGAAGGTCACACAAGCAGAGCAATGAAATCTGTCTGCCAGAAAGCCTGGATGTGAGCAATCATTTCACAAGTGTCATGCTAATTCAGTGATCACTATTTACAGTTTGGAACTCAACCAAGTGTGTTAAAATGAATGGAACAGTTATACAAACTCAAGTGCCTCTAACTTTTCCATAAACTTCACAGAAAATTCTTATACACTGTAAATTTAGATTAACATATTAATTCAATAGAGAACAAGGCCTAGGAATATAGGAACCTAAAAGCATATAAAACACTACTGTTAATAAACATAGTTATCTGCAAAATACAGTTTCAGGTGGCTTCTAATACACAAAACATTACTGATGCTTTGGTGTACTTTATTTTGTCAGCACAAAAAAGATAATCTAGCTCAAGGTGTTCAGGATGCCAAACTAGGTGGCATCAGGAGCTTATAAGAGTAGCTGGGAAGGAAAAAAAATCCTTATTAAATGGATGCATATGCAACTCGCTTCCACTATTGTAACAGTCAGAGCTGCTAGATACTACATAGCTTTCCTCATTCCTAATATAATAGCTTGTGTATAGCATATCTGTATAAAACACATCTCAAAGATTTGTAAGAAGAGTTAACAGACCACCAAATTTCTAAATAAACATTTTTAACTAAAAAATTATTAGCAAATTAATGCATTACCCATAGCAAAGCATAAAAAAAGAATGCTGACTCTCATAAACTCTGCAAGGCACAGTGATACAGCTTACCTCCTCAGTGACTTATATCAACAGGATTTTTAATACACAACAGCTTTTAAAAAAATGAAACAAACTCAAGTTGAATGATAACACAAATGTGTGATTTTCAATGAACATTTTAGTGGTATCATTCCCTGAAGAGAGCACAGAAAACAATGAACCCATGTATACATTACTTGTAAGACAACTTTTAACCTTAGAGTGAGCATTAAATAATAGCTTATAAATATTAAATATTAGCTTATTTTTCTGCCTTGCCTCTTCCTATTTCTAATGTTCAGCAGTCAGACAACTTAAAATCTCCCCTCACTTACATTGCAATGCAGGTTGTGTGCCTCAGAGACATCCTTTAGTCTGTTACCATAGTGATTCTACTAAGCAGGCAACTTAAAAAAAACCCCACTAAATAAAAATAAAATGCTCTACTTTACATTGCATTTTGCCTGACAAAATAAAAAAAAGGAACAGACGTATATACTTTGGCCTGTACACCGAGTACACTGATCTAAATGGTACAAGATCCTTTTTGCACAGATGTGTCATCTTACACTGTCACTAACAATTAATATGAAAAGATAAAGCAGAAAGGAAGATTTGCTCTCACCTAGCAATGCTATTATAAAAAATAAGCAGATCTAAAGAGAAACGATTGACAACTGTTCTGCAGTAGCTTTTCAGAAGAGTTATTGCAGTGAGAGTCACTGAGATAAAGCAGGCAACCATATAAGAAAATCTAATCATTTTAATATATAAATATGCCAGTAGTATCAGGGCTGTACAGTAAAAAAAGCAGGAATATTTTCAGCAATGCCTCCTAAAATTTTAATTCTTACTGCTACATTAGCTGACTTAAATTTCAAAACCCATGTAATGAAAATTTTCTAAGTGTAGAAATTTCTGCTTGTACTGTTCACTAGATTACTAACAGTAAAGAAATTTATAAATCAAAGCCCATAACTACAGCAAAATAAACCATTTGCACTAAACAATTACCACAAAGCAATACAGAGAAATCCCAGAACCTTCCAAACCAAGAACCTTTGAAACGCACATACACGAGCAAACCTATACCTCTTGCCAGATAAATAAAACATAGCTCCCCAAAAAAAAAAAAAAAAAAAAAAAAAAAAAAAAAGCATGCATGCATTCTAACACATAAATCCCATCAGCCAAAAGCAGATCCACTAATCACAATTACCAGAACCAAAAAATTTAAAAAATATAGTAATCATTTCCAACTTCCATTTCTGCAACAAACAGAAGCGGCTAGCAAACATCTGCACCTCTCTCAAATATTGCAGTACTGAAGCTGGCTACTGCTGTGTGAAATAGTTATTATGCAGGAGAGGCCGCTGCAGTTCAGAGACGACATACAATACCTCAAGGCAGACAGCAGTCTATAGAAATTCAAATCCCGAGTAAGAGGATTTACCTAGAAGGCAGTGTTCTGAATGTTAAAAAGTAACAGGCTCTCTTCAAGAGCTGCAGCTCAAGTCATAATATACCTTGATTTGTAGCCATCTGTAATTGCACAATTATCTACAGCCTATTTTGTCTCTTCTGGAGTCCTTCACTTGCCTCTGATTGTGGAAACAATTTCGAAGGTAACCTTTCCAAGGACCAGAAGTACTGTGGATTGCATATAAACACTGATGAAAGCACTAGGTCTGGTAGTAAAATAACAGTAATCTGACGCCAATTTAGGTAACTTAGTATGTTTTCACTACTAGAATTAACACCAATTCTAACAAATTACAATTGTTACAAAGTATCCACGGTTTTGTTGTTTCTTTAAGCAGTGACCAAGACAAAAAGAACCATTTTCTTCTTAGTGCAAGATTTTCAGTACTGTCTCTATTTACATCCAAGCCTGAGACCTCAAAACAGAGATTGTATTCCCTCCTCCTCTCGAGGATGACATTACCAAGTTTAATAGCTCTTGGTTCTGCATTTATTTAGCAAGCAAGGCAAGCCATCATCTGAAACCTGACAATTCTCACAGACTTACCATGAAGGAAAGCTCCACCATGACTCAGTACAATTCTGTCAGGAGATGGCTTTTTCTGCCTATGTGACCTAGGTGTGATGCCTATGCTCCTCAGAGCAGCCTTTGTTCAGGTAAGTAGGACACAGAAAGCCTTGCGTAATGAGCCGTGGCAGAGCGCCAAGCCTCCATTTGCCAGGCATGTCTGGGGCCAGGGGAGAGGGTCAGGAGAGGACCTGCTACATGGGCTCACTGCTCCGCTCTCCTGCGTCTTTCGAATTCAGAACAAATTCATCTTGCAAGATGAAGGTTTGTGTAGTGTAAACACTCAGTTACCTTTGTCCAACATTCAAAAAACAACCCTCAACACTGAGGAAAACTGTTACATGGACAGGGCAGAAGAAAGCTGCTTGAGGACAGAAAGAAACGAAGGTCACAAACTGAGTAAGAGCAGTATGTTCAGAAGAATCTCTTGTTTTGACTAGCTGTAAAGAGAAAAAAATCTTTTCAAACAGAAAGATCAGAAAAGCTGTATTTTCACTAACCAAAGGAAGGTTGCATTCAAATTTACTGACCATCATCTTATATAGTATACTACAGTGATATTCACAAAGCTGTCTCAATACTCGTGTTTTCCTGTGTGTTTTATCATTATTTGTGCAACATCAGAATTTAGCTATTCCTGTCTTAACAGCCTGAAGGACTGCCAGCAGCAACAAAATGCCATAGGGAAGCGGAATGACTGGGAAGCTTGCCCCCGCTGCTGCATCACCACAGAGCTGAACCGCCCTGAGCTGGGGTCGTTCCAGGACCTGCAGCACTCTGCCTCCAGCTCCCACAGGCACCCAGGCTGAACTGAAGCACAGCACAATCCTTGCCCGGTATCTGCGGCTACCTAGCCAGTATGCAGAGCTAGACACTACTGCGTGCCCTCAATGCTGCCTTTCAGTTACAGTTACAGCTAATAAACCTGGACCAAGACACCTCTCATGAGGAGAAGGTCCCCAAATGAAGTGAGCGTACCAGCACCAATACTCACGAGCTTCAATGCTCAACTTCTGAGTCAACTATTTCTCTTCTCATGGTTTGTTCTTTCCCCCCCTCCCCAGCAAATGATGGGAGATGCTACACAGCATGTTAATTCAATTTTACCATTACTTGTCTCTGTAATCATGATATTTCACACACCTACAGTTTTCTTTCATAGGAAAACTCCAAAATTACTCAAAAACCCAAGCAAAACTAAGAAGAAAACACTTAGTAGGCCAGACACTGTGATATCACGATCCACTGCTGAAACCAGCTGCACTAGTAACTCTCCTGCAGTTCAATTACAGTGCCATGCTGCATTAGAAAACTTTCATGTTTTTACATCTTGTGTATGCCTCTCCATCATACACATACACAGACTACAAAGGCATAAAGAGCATTTTCATTCCCAAATGCTGTTTTCCATTCACTAACATTTTTATTAAATTATTAAAATAATCTTTTGACTCATTTCATATGCCTTCCACAAATTGCTTTTTAGGTGAAGTGCTTGAAATCTTGAATAGCCACATGCAATAGCTAAAGCTCTTTGTTCTGTGGGTTTTTTTTGGGTTTTTTTTTTTTTTTT